CCTCCACACACGCGTAGCGCCAGGATCCCCTCCCGCGGTGACCAGACACGGGTGATGGGAATTAAACCTCTTTATCCCCCCACTAATTTGGATCATGCGCTGTATCAGAGGCTTCCAAACACATGGCAGAGTTAGCGTGTTGAGCGTTACGGTTTCATCCCCAGAAAGCCCAGTTCAGCCTTTTATTTTCTTTCACTCCTTGTGCCAAGTGCAGCTAATTACCTGAGCCACGCACTTGGAGAACTTACCTATGAAGTATCACTGCAGTATCTGGTGTTTCACCAGCCCAACTCCTTCTCTCCTTTGACGCATAAAATCTGCTAAACTTTGCAACTAACAAACATCCCTATTCTTCCTTGACAAAGCATCCCTGTGGGGGAAGCTCAGGGCACATGGAAATAACAGCTTCCAAGTTCATGGACATCCAGCAGGCTATCCAGCCAGACTGGTTCCACTGCAGCTCCGATGGAGACACCATCTCAGAAGAAGCTGGTAGAAAAAGGGCCAAGAAGCCTGTGGATAGGTTGCTTTCCTGGATGCATGCCTCATCTGCTAAAAAAATAACCATTAAGGTCCCCAAAATATCAGAGCACTAGCACCACAGCCGGTTTTTGGTCTGTTCTGAATCCTGGACTAGTCCTAGGATGTCATTTAGTAGGAAGTCATGTCAAACACATGTATTAAAGAATGCCTAGCTGACAGTCCTGGATGAGGTACAACTGTTAGCACTGTGGGTTTTCCTTCCTTCCTTCCTTCAATAACTTGCCTCCTGCACCAGGATACCTATCTCTACTATTCGAGAACTATTTTTTAAAATTCTTTCTGTTCCTGGACTGTAGTGCATTTCTTCCACTTCCCTCCATGCTGGATACATGGGCAAAGTAGGATGTTCTCATTCAGACTGAGAGAATCCATCTTTTTGCTCTGAAGTTCCCTCAGTTCCAAGTGAGGGAGGACTTGCTAGAATTCACCAGTGCCGCAGCCCAGGGTGCAGCCAGAACTCAGCTGCTTGCACCACTGCAAGACATACTGTGCACCACACCAGCCAGCACTGCCCTAAACCCACAGTGTGAGCCCCGAGGGAGGTTGCTGCTTCCCTGGCTTGCAATTTTAATTTTCATCTTCCTTCTTTCAACCAGCCTGAAGAAAAGGTGTTTCATCACCAGTGGGCACACACCATGCTGAAGAACTGAGGAGCAGCTCTTGGAGGGAAAATACCGAGGGCTGAAATTTCTCTGGTAGAACTAGAAACATATGGGTGAAGGCAGACTGCCAAAGCTCACGGTATGCAAGAGATTATCAAGCATTTTCCTGTTCAGTTAATTAATCTTAAAAATATTCATCCTTCAAGACTGTGACTTGCTTTACCCTGTGGCTAAAAAAAGCATATAAAGATCCCATGGCTGTGAAACCACTACCTGTTTTTCTTCTTCCTCCAAAATGCTCTTCATCAACGGTCATGTTTTAAGTTGCCATAAGAAGCTGTGATTTCATTAAAGGAAAGCCCAGCTCTCTGCTCTCCCCTCCTCCAAAATCTGCAGGTCTGGTAACCAGCAGTACCACTGCCCTCACTCACTCACCATGCAATCCGAGTGCTCTGTGCTGTTGGTATGCGAGGCTCACCCTGTGATAGAGGGCTGGCAGGAGAGACATTGCCAGGCTACAGGAATGCAGAGCTTCTTCCAGCAACCTTTATTCTGTGCAGCTTTTCAGCCAAATAGTAAAGAGTCCAAAGGTGACATTTGCAACCCCTACCCCGTAAGTCCTCACACACACACATCTGTTCTTCCAACATCCTGAACGGAAAGCTGATGTGGGTATTAACTCTCAGTCTTGCCACTCTGTGTCCTGTTCAAGTGGTCAAAGCTTCTTTGGAGCATGGAAAGGGAGATCTTTAACTGTGAAGATACAACCATCATAGCCCAATTACTTCTTAGTCTTCTGCATGGGTGAGTGCTATCAAGAAAATAATGTCTCCCTCCTTTTCTTTTAAAGATTTCATGCAATTTCCTCCTCCCTGTTTCTATAAACAGTTGGCTTACTCTGCTCTCCCTAGCAGCTACACTCTGTGCAGTTTATAAATACTAACAGTCCAGTATGGTAAAGTCTCAACACCTCACCAGACAGCAGTGCAGAAGATAAGCCACCCCACTCATTTTTAGTCACAGTCAACACTCATAGCAAATACTCTAAGGAACGGGGCAGCAATGCATTAATTTCTGTCTAATACCTGGCCCTCCCAGTGCATTTTGGTGCATGAAATGTGTTTAAATTATTGACAACCCTCAGAAAACACAAGGTAAAAGGCACTAAGATGCATCATGACTTCCAGACTGAAGTGTTATCTGCAATGAAAAAGGTGGTTGGATTCTCACTTTTAAGGGGGTTTTTTTTGTTTTCTTTTTACACTGTGTGTTCAAAAAACAGTTTTAACACTTCAGAATTAGGACTTGTTCAGGTAGTAACCAAAGAAAATGAAAATGGCATGGAAAGGAAATTAATTTCTACAGTGAAGTTTCCAGCACTCAGAAGCCTTTTCAAGCTGTGATCAAAATAGTTAATAGATTAAGAACAATTTCATGTGCAAAGACACCTCTGAACAAGGAATATTAAAAAATGGCTACTTTTTCTACCTTTAGCACATGGGAGAACACAGAGCAAACCAGTAATGAATGGAGGTACATGTGAACTCCATCCCACCTTTCCTAACCTAGTAATTTCTTCTGTCGCATTTTAAGATTTAATAAAAGAACTTAAAATCAGAACATTCATAGGTTACAAGTAAAAAACAAAGTATAAATTTACTGTCCTTCACTTGCTGAGTTGAAATCAGCCTAGGGGTTTACCAGTGCTGGACTTCAGGATCAGAGAGATACAACAGCATTCAGCAACCTTGCTATTTTCTTAGTGCTTGTGGTGTTTAAAAGCCTGGAAATGTCAGTTACTGAGAAGGATTAACTCCACAGCTGCGGAGCCTCTCAAAACATATGGTCTGTAGAATTTATTTACTTCTCACTGGAGATTAGGTGGCCCTTTGATACTAAAGCTAACTGAAGCTCTTACCAGTATCTAAGAAGATTAGCGGGGAGCAAAAACCAGGCTAAACCTGAATGAAGAAACCCCATAACAAGGTGAGCAACTACTCAATGTTATGGTTTGAGTCTTCTTAGAAAAGAGGATGTTTTGAATTACTTTAGTCTTTGCTTTGTCATAATTCAGAACTTCATCAACACAACTCATAATACTTGAGTTGCTGAGAAACAAGAGTATCACCAGGAAAGACTGGCAGACCTACCTGCTCAAGCATTTCAATTGACTCTCTTAAAACTCCCTTCATGTGTTTAACCTGTTCCTTGTCATATTGAGGGATTTCCTCTTTTGATACCATTTCTGGGGATATGCTGAAAGAGATTGAGATTACATCAGAAACATGAAACAAGCACGTCCCATGCCTTTCTACAAGCAACTGCTCTTTGCCATCATTGCTCTGCCACTGCTAAAAGCATCCTTTTCTAAAAGCCACAGAAAAAGATGCCTGCAGTTGAATTTCAATCCCTCTTGCCTTGGAGATGCTGCCTCAGACCTTTTACAGACAACATCAACCAAAACTAAATTACGTCTACAGTGCAAGTTCACACACTTCAGAGAGCAAGATCATTCCTATGAAGTCGCTTTAATCAGTTCCGAGTGATTATTACAAGAGGTCACCACACTGCTTCCATACTCAAAATCAAGTTACCTTTTTCCAACTTGTTTGCTGATACCGTATTCAAGAGAGAAAACAACATCGGAGCCTCTTCCATGTGCCTGAACAAAAAGGCAACTAATATGGAAGTTTGAAGAGGAAAGTAGGCTAAAAAGCTAAGTGAATCTTCAGTGTTACATTTGAGATCACGCCAGTTCACACATGATGAAGCGAACACTTTGGTTCTGTGATCAGCACTATGACATTCTCAGAAGATGAGTCACACAGCAGGGTGATAAATGCAAGCTAAGGTTAACACTCCCCAAAAAATAACTTGCCAAAGGAGAAATTTATTACTGCAAGATGCAGTCAGACATGTCACTGGACAACAGCACAGACCACAGAAAAGCAGGAAGCACCAGCAGCTTTTGAAAACTTACCACTGAGTTTCATTGCTTAAAATTTATTTCTTTAGATCAAATTCTCACGTAAGCTGAGAAGAAAGCAAGCAAAGATTGTGAATGCAACTTACTTCAAAGAGCTTTCTTCCTGAAGCTGGACATGATAGAGGGACTGAGCTGCATGCTCTATCTTGGATAGTTTGAGAAACAGTGTTACATTCAGCAAGACCAAGAGCAGCAGGCTGTAGAGAGGAAAGAACAAATATCAGGTCCTGTAACAATTTCACTTGCAATGCTACAGAAACAAGATCTTGGCTAAAAACATGTAAGAAAAGAGAATCTTTCCAAGAGCCAAAAAAGGTGTGTGGCAGGGCAGCACTATAGTGAAAACGAAGATCTCTCCAAAGAATTCTTAGCCGTTAGCATTAAGCTGTGTAATGGCAACCAACAGGAATGACAACAGTGTCTCCTCTTGGATCTTTTAAGACTAGGAATGAGTAAATCCAAGACTTCTTTGGTTTTTGTAGGATCAGGCCTAAGTAGACCTGTAAGGTAGATTAGTTTGGCAGGTCAGCATTTTCATTCCATGTGTCACTTAAGACAATCCATTCCCCTCTTATACCTGAGTACTCCATTCAAATTATCATGCTATGTACAATTTTAACATACAGGTGAGGTACAGACAAATACAGATAAAGACCAAGATGAACTTGAGTCAAGCCACATTTTAATGCAAATGAGTACTTACAAGACACTCATTACTACAATGATGGTGGTGGTCCTACCTACAGCATCTCTTTTCCTTCCTACAAGGCATGGAAGAGAAGGAGGTTAAAAAGTAGCGAAGAACATTCCTAAAGGATGCCTGCAGATACATGTCAGTGCCCAGCATTTCACACAGAATAGCTCAACAGCTTCTGATGGAAAAAAAAAATAACAGATCATCTCTAACATTCACCAAGGCATTTCTGCAGTCAGCTCACAAGTTGCTGCACAGTCAGGCTCTTCCATCAGGAGCAAGATTTCCCCTTACCCCAGTATGCCAGGGAGAACATAGCACTGGGATGTGTTCACATTAAACCTAGATAGCCTGAGAAGGCTACAGTCCATCCATTACTAACACCCACATGTGCTGCTAGCCACACATGAGCAGATACAGCCTGAAAACACATGAGCAGATACAGCCTGCAAAGTGGCTCTCTTCTGCTACTCCTCCTGCTCACATTAGTCTGACAACCAGGGTCAAATAAAATTCTCCTGCAACCTGTTGCATCTGTACTGGTTTGGTTTATGTATTGGCCTGAAGGCAGCCTTTCAAAAGAGCATCTGCTAGCCATCAAGCCACAGGGACCAGGCACCAACGACAGAGAAAAAGTGTGCCCGTCCTCTCCAAACTGAGCTACCCCTCCCACTGTGGGGAGGCCAACCTTTAAATGTAATTTCCTGTTCTCCTAAAACAGTTCCTTACACTCGTATTTCCTGCCATGGACAAAGGGCATGCACAAAAGCTGTAATGTGTACTGAGACAGACACACTCACCTGAAAAGGTGGAGCAGCAGTAGCAAAGTTAAGTAATCAGGAAGTAATCTCAGTCAGGTAAAGAGCCTATTACACGTGCTGTTGATCTAAATGTTCTCTCATTGCTATACTCAGTGTTGTCCCCCCTCTTTAGGAAAGGCACTTACTCCTGCTTCAGTGTTTACAATTCAACTTGTGTCATGAAATCTGCCATTCTCTGGTACATGTTAGTGCACAAATGTTCCTCATCTCTGTAAGTATAGCTAATATTAATATGCTAATGGCCAGTCTGTGGTGCCTAGGGGCAGTGGAACTGCAAGACGTGCTCCAGTGACTCAGAAATTACAGAAGCAGGTGGGAAATAGAATCATAGAATGGTTTGGGTTGGAAAGGACCTTAACATGTAGTTCCAACCCCTGCCATGGGCAGGGACACCTTCCACTAGACCAGATTGCTCAAGGCCCTGTCCAGCGCGGCCTTAAACACTGCCAGGGATGCTGCATCCACAGCTTCTTTGGGCAACCTGTTCCAGTGCCTCACCACCCTCACAGTAAAGAACTTCTTCCTTATATTAATCCTGAATCTCCCTTGTTTAAGTTTGACTTAATAAATAGACTTAGCATGAAAAAAAAACCACCTCAACCAAAACCAAGATCATAGAGCCAAGAGGTGAAAGACAAAGTTTAATCAACTCATGACTTGGGTATGCAGTTATCTGAAGAAATAAAGCAAATTTTCACCAATTTTGCAGAATTCACACTAAACTACTTTCTGATCCCATTTGATTTCCAATCCTATGCAGGGACAGTGCAGACATTTCAGGTGTTGGATGGGGTTTTTTTGTTCCTTTGTCCGAAAAAACTTCTGTGAGATTAGATTTGTATTCATGAGATACTCATCGTAAGTGGTCATGCATGCTCCAAATCTATTTTATGCAGGCTTGAGCACACTAAAGCATTTGCCATCACATCAATTAGACAGTGAAAGTAACCTACACCCAAGTGTTACTTCTGCACTACTCTAAGAGTTAAGTTTTCTTGAACACACCTTTTGGAAAACACTTGATATAAATATTCCTACCCATTATGCTGCCCTGGGACTCCGCTCCCTAGCGTTTGGGAAGTGATTCTGCCAGACTCCTGTGTAAAGTGCGTCGTCTTCGTCTCAGAGCAACTAATTTTCCAGTGTCTTCTATGGACTGATTAATTGCATACTCCTCCATTAGGAGATCTGATTCTGCAGTAGAAAAAAAAAACCCAAACCCAAAGTTATCCAAGTTCCAAATAGAAAGCTGAAAAGCCTGGCACAATTGTGAGATATGGAGCATGGCAGTGAGAGGAATAAGTGCACCTTCTAGTAGATGAACATAAAGCAGGTAATTGACATAAACTGTGCCTTGACCTGTACCACTTGTTCTATTTGCTAGAGGGCACTTAGCACACTTCTCAGGTATGTTACATGTTCTGCCTGTGCAGGATTGTTTAATGCTATGGTAGACAGCAGCGGGAAGAGCACTTCAAGACACTCTTAGACTGAGACTAGGAATTGCGTTAGATTGTGAGCCTGCAGCCATGGCTGGCCAGGCTGGTAACAGACACAGCCAGGGAGCCCAAGACGTGCCACTGCTTCTCTTCTCATACTCACAATCAAGGAAGTACTTAAAGACAGGCACACACAGTTGAGAGTAACAGCTTTTCTGCTGCTCTTCATGTTTCCTTCAGAAAGCTATTACGAGATACACACAAGCCTTTTGTTAGCATCGAGCCGCAAGGCTTCTTTTATACCCTAGAACTGGCAGATATGTTGACTACAAAACTTCTGACTTCAAGATTCCTTTGGTGTTGCCTTCTTTTCAAGCCATTCTTTAAGGAATCAAGTTTGACAGACATAAGAACATACATAGGAAAGGTAGTCACTTTACTCCAGCACAAAGAAGAAAATGCCTCACCAAGTTGTTTGAAGTTTTCCTGTATGCCTCCCCAGGTATTCTTCTCAATTACAGACTTGACAAGGCCCCAAGGCTGTTTTTTGTACTTCACTTCTGCAGAAACCCTAATAAACAGAATACAATAGTGAAAGAGTGCTCTTCTGGGTAACACAGTGATAGCAGACATCTCTTATCAGAAGCAGGCCTCTAACTTTCGTCAATAATCTGAAATACTAACTGCAATTGCCTTGGCTTCCCACCTGGGCAGCACCTACACTGAAGCAAAGTAAGACAGACAGTACCAAAGACAACATATCTAGCTAAAGCCTCAGATCTGAATGTCCATGTTACAGGAAACATTTTGAAGTGCTTTCCTACAGATCCAGACTAGCAGAGAATTCTCTCCTCTGAAGTGATTGCATTCTAACACACATTCAAAACAGGCTTCAGGCTTTCAGATCATAAAGTCTTGAATTCACTCTGTATATGTACATATATTTATTACACAAGCAGTGCAATGGCAGCAGCTAAAATTCATCATCACCACTTACGTACCAAGTGCTCAGATCCTACCCCAAAGAGACAGAAATTAAAATCTGTCTTCCTATATGACAGAAGGGAAGCGACAT